AGCAAATTATACTGTATTGTATAATATATACTAATAAAACGGAACTATGCTTAAATCATTCCTGAGGTGATTTCTTTCTCTCTGCTTGATCGTGAACATGCTACACTCTGGCAAGAAATACACACATGCACAAACAGGATCCTCTTGATGTGCACTAATGGAGCTCTGCATCAATGATGGAGATGTCAGAGTAAAGAGGGCTGCACAAAGACGAGCGCCCCGAAACAGTTTTCAATGCCTTGCTCAAGGGCACTCAGCAGTTCCCATCCAGCAACTTGAACTGGCGACTCCCCAGTCCTCAACCCAAGTTGATACAGATTAATGTGACATTGCATGATTACATTACTTTTGGGCAGATGTAGTTGCCTTGACAACAGGAGGCTGTCTCTTTAGCTTTCTCTACTTTATTTACTCTGTATCCAGTTCTGCTGCTGAGTCTAACATCTGCTTATATGTTAACTGATCTCTTTTTTTTTTTTGCACTTGTGATTACTGCGTGCAATAACAGTAAAGTTGAACTAATCTAGAAAAAACTGTAAGACATGAAAATATAAGTTGGACACAATGAAAAATGACAAACACCATGGCATATAATATTATACACAAAACTGTAACAGAACATGAAATTGACATAACGTATAAAATGCAATCTGTTAATAACAAGTGTACAGTTTTGAGAAGCCAAAACATGATTTCACCGTACATAACTCTATAAATACGACAAAGTTATAACCATGTAATGACCCTGTTGGCATAAATAAACACAAAATATGAAATAACAAATCAATTCATCAAGCAATGCAATTCATCACATTTTATTTTATTGAATCCAAATCACTGGCTATAGCATGTAGGGAATTGAACCCCTCATCACTGCTTTCTCCTTGCTCGACGCTTCAGGCTGTCAAGGAGTACAAGACTGTCTGTTGTGGTCAGCACCACCTTCAACATCTGGCTGTAAAAAAAAAGTTCCTCTCATATTTAGTAACCACTTATTAAACCTAAAGATATCACACACACCCTCTGCACCCAGAGGGGCTTTGGAACAGTTGGTGGACCAAAAAAAGACATGGCCTACTTTTCAACTTTTACTCTTTGCACTATAATTTGAAGACCTATAACTACTACTCACTCTTTAAATAGTCGACTTTCATTAGTTTAATTTCTGCTGCATGACTTCAGTTCAGCCTTTATGTGCCTTGTGGTCTTTAAAAATCTTTTCAGTTGGTTTGAAACAGTGGCTTATAAAGTTTGAGTTTTAGCACAATAAAATATGAAGAGGAGGAGAGAAAGGAGAGAGGGTCAGGAGAATAACCATCCCGATAATAATGTAATGCACATCGCAGCCAGTTAACTTACCTGACAAACCTGTTGGTGAGCTGCTCCACAAACCCATAGATCTCATCCCAGTGTCCCGACACGCTGCCAGACCTGCAGAAAACAGGAGCGGTGAATGACACTGAACAAAACAAGGAATATAAAAAAATGACAACAAAGCATTCATGACTCAGGACAGAACAAGTGTAGCACATCAGGGGGAATGTCAAAAATGCATCAATTCATTTAGATACAGGTGATTTGAATATGCTTCAAATGAAGAGATGTAATGAAAAGCCAATTCATTGCAAAAAAAAAAAAAAATGCAGGTAGAAATACATTTAAGAAATATTACGATTTATGTGGTGGACTGGTTTTGTAGCAGGATATTTTAAAACTTTCTTGCAGCTAAAAAGATCAATCTAAAGACATAACGCGTTGCTTAAAATAAACAGAAGAAAGAGCATGTGTTTTTTTTTTTTTTTTTCATAAAACCTTTAAGTAGTCTACTTTTCAAACTAAGAATGAACAGACCGAACTGTAGCATGATATTAACGTGAACTTTCTCCAAGTATTCACCCAAAGAAAGGATTCAAAATAAACAGTGTAAACCTGCAGTGAAGCAGCAGAGAGGAAAACTAAACACTACCATACATGGAGAAGCCTGCGTAAAGATAGTCTCCGCAAAAGGTAACAAATATTAGACTAGATCATTGGGGCAGTGTGTTCTCTTTCCCCACAGCCTAATTCATCTCCTTACCTGTCCAAAACAAAATAAATATCAAATGCTCCATCACAGGAAGCGTCTTCACCGTCATGAGGCGATGAATTCACACAAGCAACAGGAAAAAGTAGGAATATGCAACATATCCATATCCGATCCATAATCCATGCCATTCCCTACATACTATCTGATGAATTTGTTTAGAAATCAGTCGAAGCAACTGAGACCATGATCCTCAGTGCATCAGCCCGGAGGTTCACATGTTGAATGAGTTCGGAGAGGAGGCTGTAGTTCATGTGGGCTTTGACAGGACGCTGACAATGAAGTAAACGGGGCAGGGCACACAGCTGCTGCTGCTGCTGCTGCTGCTGCTGCTGCACACCATGTCAGGCTCACAGCAGCAAGGTACAAACACAACTTCCCTCAGGGCTCTTCAGATTAAACTGAACTATTACTTCAGAACTATGGACTATTACTGATACAAAAAAACAACAACACACAAATATATAATTATAGCCTAATATTTCCCGCGTCTTAAATAAAACTGTACAACAGTGTGCTATTCAAAAGCTTTGTTTTTATCTAAACTGAGTCTCCAATTGAGGTACATTCAGACCTATATACATTAATATCGACTAAACACAGGATTAATACATTGCAAATAATCAATGAAGGTAAATCCAAATAAAGTTTGGGCCTTATGAGTTCCTCATGAGGTCTTATGAGTTTCTATATCTCATCTATAAAGCCCAGTCAATGTTAAATCGTAAAATATAAAAGGAAAAGAGAAAGCAAAAGACTACAGTTGTAATTAATCTATTTTCTCCGACACGCTGTATGTCTTGGCTACACCTTAACCTATTTTATCGTACTTTTATTTTGAAGGCCAATACATGTATCTTCCTTTTTTTTCAGACTTTCCAGAATTATTGACTTAAATAGTGACAGACTGAGACAATAAAAGCTCAAACATACATACTGCTGATCCGGATGAATAAATGTAACCATTAAGGCATCTGACCCACAATTCCTGTTTCTTCAAACAGAATCAAGAGACATTTGACTCCTCATACAAGGAATCTCTCTCCTTCACAATAAAATTGTAAATATTTTCAGGGGGTGATTCCATGTCATTAAAAACAAATTCTCCTCAGTTAATAATTATTTCGGTCGCAGATCATAATACAATCACGACAGAATTATTCCTCCAATACAAATACATTTGGTGTCTTATGTATTTTCTCTCTGTTTTGGACAAACAAGTGTTTCCATGTTTAAATCTGTTACAGATGTAAAACATTTAATCAACTAACACAACGCCCTTGATTTTGTCAGAATGATTTGCTGCCTTGTATGAGTGTGATACAAAATGTGATTACCAAACAACTGAAACTGAACCTGCTGCTTTGTCTCCAGAGGGACGGCTTGCCTTGTATGTTCAACACTGAGATTTAACATCCTTTTGTATTCCTCATCAGCAGAAAATGGCCGTGTCACAAACTCTCAAAGGCAAATCATAAATCTAAGATGAGGGAAAATTCTAGAAGTTATTTGGTGGGGTAGCACTGTAATTATAATTGTATTGTGTTCACAGGGCTGTGGCTTCCCAGTAACTTTAATTTACAACTTTTAAGAAGGATGAAGTCACAACAGTAAACAATCCAAATAATTACATACCACAGTCACTGTGTAAGCAGTGTTTGGACCAAAAGATCTCTTTCTATTCAAATTAATTCAAAAAGTTATGTGCAAAATGACTCAAGAGTGAAAACAGCAGAAAGAGAGACCACCCCGATGTCATAAAACCCATTTTAAAGAGGAAACATGCCGTCAGACCGCGTGCAAATGACTACATATGTAAATGTAACATTCAGTCTTGGATAGATTTTAAAGCTTTTGGAACAAGTCAATAAAGAAAATAAACATGATCGTTTCATTACAGGAGAACTTCAATTGTCTTTCCAAACTTTGAGCTTGTTGGAGACAAAACAACAAACAAACAAACAAACAAACACAGGGAGCTGGAAGTTAAAGGCTTGATACAAAGACATTAATAAATGAACTGGTCTTATTTTACAGGCTAAAGGGACTTATAACAGAGAGGATGAACCACCAGAAGTCTGCTTTGGCCTTGAGTGAAACACAATAGAGTATTTGTTTCTTCACACTGCTGATCAGTCTGAAGTGTTTGTGACCACAGTCAGTCCATCCTTCAAATCAGATGGAATTGTTTATGGTGTGACCACAGGCCTGGGTTATTAAATTAAAGGCTGATATACTGCCAGTAAACAATCCTTATTGTGACTGTTTCAAAAGGGTGCGATTTTAATTCTAGCTTTGTGACATATGTACTGGAAACAGCTCAAGCCAGCACAATGCAGGTACTTAGTGCTTATATAAACACAAAATATGTTTTGCAAATTCTAAACTTTCACAAATATTTTAGAGCTATTTTAAAACAACAAAAAAAAAAATCGAAATTATTTGGTTTCCCTAAATACACAGAGTCGCACCCCTCCTCATTTACCAGCAGATGGCAGTAATGCGCCGTTTTGTCTTTTATTCTTTTTTTTTTACCAACCCAAACAAAATAAAATCTGTTATCCGAGAATGAGCTGTGATTAACGATAGACCAATAGCTGTAACATATAATATATGCAAAAAAAATGGAGAAAATTCTAAAAGATATATTAATATATTTCATTGAAAGTAATGGTTATGTGCCACATCATCAGGAATCATTCAGAAAAGGAACAAATACCATGGATCCTTTGTGTGTGTAGTGTAGTGGCCATCTTTTTGACATATAAAAGATAAACGACATGATGTGGAAGGAGGGATTCTTGCATTTGGAATAAGGGGGCCGATGACTACTACTATTCAGACTCTACTATACACCGTCAGTCCAGCAGGTGGCGCTAATGCACCAAAACATTGTTTGACAACCGACAAAAAAAAAACTCTAAGAAGAAGAAAAATCGTGTGATTTGTTTTTGTTTTTCATATGCGAAAATGTGATTAATTTCTAACGTAATGCTTGCTTAAAATAAATCTGGTAATGGCTGAATTGCCCGAACGACGACAAGGGAAACCAGCCTTCTGCTAATGGTGAGCTTTAGTGCCTTTATTTTATTATCACAGCTGACAGAAACTCCTGTCAAGGTTAGCATTAAGGTTAGCGATGCAGAAACCTGCTAGCGTGGCTTGTCATTAACATAAAGGTCTTCTGTCAGATTGATAGTGAAGTAAGCATGTTGTATAACTGTTTAAAATAAAGCTGTCCTGCGGTGTAAAAAAAAAAAAGAAAAAAAAAAGCGCTATACAAACTTTACCATTTACAGTTTTATTCATTTAATATTGGCAGATGTGTCATGAAAAAAGAACTGAAAGTGGCTTTTGTGAATCCGTGATTTCTCCTTCCCTCTCTCCAAACTCAGCCGACACCTTCCCCAGGTTTCCTTGTACCAGAGGAGCAGAGGTCAAGATGCTGCTCAAGATGCCCCAGAAGCTGCTGAAGACAGCACACTACATCGAGCTGGGCAGCTACCAGCACTGGCCTGTGTTGATACCCCAGAGGATAAGACTGTACACCTACGAGCAAATCCCCCTCTTTCTCAAAGAAAACCCCTACATCACTGACGGCTACAGGGCTCACCTGCCATCCAAACTCTGCCTGAGGAGGTAGGAGTCATTCAGAAGCTTGTTTCTAGTTCTACTTGTATTAAAGCTCTGGTTTGTGATTAATTGTTAAAGATGTATGTCGTGGCAATCTGAACAACAAAAAAGTGCCACAGGAGGGAATTTTAAGTCATTTCCAACTCATGGTGGGTAAAAAATAAAAAAAATAAAAAGGGAATTCCCACCGTTGATTATGTTTGCAGTATTTATTTATCAGCAATCTTAAGAACACGAGTGTAGGCCTATTCTGCGTCAGACGAAACTAGCTCATAACAATAGATAAAGTCTAAACGCACCAGACAACATCTTCACACACCGATGGTTAGGGGGGAAAAAACTGTGTGGCTTCCACTAATTCCCTATCCTCAGTCACCTGTGTCTCCCCTTTCTACCTACCTGTAATTGCCAACTATGCCCAGGTGCGCAGGTGACGTTTTTTGCAGCAGAAAACGTACACACACACACACACACACACACACACCAAAACACACACGAAATTGGCGACAACAATGTAGATCTTGATGTTTATGCAAATGTCCAGCATTTTATACTGCATATGTTAGTGTGACTTGTTTTTTTTTTTTTTTGCTGTTTCAGTATTTTTATTCTGTCCAATGAGACTGTGAATATCTGGAGTCACCTTCTGGGGTTCCTGCTCTTCTTCTCTCTGGGGGTCAACGACCTCTCGTCAGTATTGCCTGCCTCTGGAGCGAAAAGAGAGGACTACGTCATCTACGCTATAGGACTGTTCTGCTTTCAGGTAAAACTGGTTTTACCGGATGAACTCAAATTTTGGTCTCATGAAAAAAAAGTTAATGACATCAAAAAAAAAAAAAAAGTTCTGTATCTCCATCAGTTTTTTTTTTATTGTGTTAAGACATAAAACAGAATCTGAATGCAAGCATTCTTGCTCACATGAAAGAAAGACCATCAGGAGGTGTGTATTTCTGTGATTTTAAAAACGTCCCTATGACTGTCATTTTCTTTTCTGTTTTTACTGCTGCTTTAAGAATAAGTTATCTACATCCTTAAAAGCAGAATATTTCAACTGTTTATTAGTAATAATACATAATGTTTTCTATTACACAATGTGCTTTGTGGCTTGACAAACATGTTCATGCGGGTTCACGTTTCCTGCCACAGGTTCAATCAGGTCACTTCTAACCAACAAGGTGTGTAAGCTGCTGATACAGGGAGTGTCATAGTGTGTTGTGTTTAAAGACCTACAGTAGTAATAATACTGAAGTGCAGAGTCCCTGTTGACAGCTACTATATGTTAAGATAGTGGTTATTAGTGTTAGCTGTGTACCTTTTGTGTTGTACATTGTGTTGTACTGATAATGGGATTAGACATCGTAAATTTACAAGTCAGATTGCTTCACTCTTACATCAAGTGTGCAGTGTAGCACATATTCCCCTCCCACCCTTTTCCAAAACTCTTATCCATAGAAGTGCAAGTTATAAGTATCAGAACAGACCTTAAAAAAAATAGTTGCAATGATATTAGAATTAGGTTGTGGATTTAAAGATGAAGAAGGTAAATTAAAAGTTCTTACAACCAACAATGACATCCATAGAAAAAAAACCTCTTTTATTATAAATTAATTTGAGCTGAGAGTATAAAACACAATCTAAAAACACCTTCCATTATGTAATGATTCTGTCTGTGTGTGTGTGTGTTTATCCCAGGTGTGTATGTTATGTTCTGTGGGGTATCACCTGTTCGCCTGCCATCGATCAGAGAAGACGAGCCGTCGCTGGCTGGCATTAGACTACGCGGGCATTTCTGTTGGCATCCTGGGCTGTTATGTACCCGGCATATTCTACGCTTTCTACTGCAATGCTGTGAGTTAAAAACACAACTGATTTATCTGATCCCAGCTTTCCACCATTTGATTCAACTTTCTCAAGATGTCATACAAATAAATGTACAGGTGCTCCAGTTCTAATCGGATCATTTCTGTGTTGCTTTCTCTCCCATCTGGCAGTTTTGGCGACAGGTGTACCTGTTGACGGTGTTGTCCCTGATCCTGGCCGTCTTCTGTGCACAGATCCACCCTCGTTACCTCAGCAACGACTGGCGAAGGATACGGATGACAATCTTTTGCTGTGTGGCTGGAATAAGTGTGATCCCTGCATGCCATTGGGTTTGGCTCAATGGAGGATTATCGACTGATGTTGTACAGGTCAGGAAATACATTCCTATAAGACGGAAGGAGAGAGAAGGAAAGTGAGAGTAATTTCAGGCCCCTGAAATCTTCCTGAGTTGGTTTTTCACTCATGTCCGTAGCCCTGTCGGATGGGAGGGATTGTGCTTGGATGGGGGGGGGGGTCTCAGGAGGCGTAGTCTACACAATATCAATAGAAGATTGGAAAAGAACAAACTAGAGAACAGAAAACATAAGAAAGCAGTTTCATTACGTGCATGGGGACACCAGTCGTGTGTAATCAGTCTATAGATATAAACATCACGACCCCCTTGATCACTGTGAATATCTCCTGCATTCTCACATCCGCTCTGCCAAACTTCCTGTAGGAGGCTAGCATGAAACACTCCGGGTGAAGTTTGAGTTAAAAGTTTGGCTGCTTGTGTTCACACACGTGTCTCACCCAGTAAACTCCAGGAAGATTTCAGGAGTGTAAAAGCATCAATATTGACTATTTTCAGCTAAAGAGAAGAAGTGTCCCTCAGTGGTGGCAACCTTTATTTGTACTTCAACCTAATGCTTTAACTTTCGATCATTCCAAGGTAGAAGTTTTACACTTGAGTCTCAGCACGTTTGTCTCCTGACTGAATGATGTTTAGTCCCACAAACTCTGTTATTGTTCTACATGCAGCTGTTCCTGCCTCGTGTGATTGTGATGTATCTGATAGCTGGATCTGCCTTCCTGTTCTATGTCACCAAGATTCCTGAGCGCTACTTCCCCGGTTAGTCCTTTTCCTCTGTCCCTGTCATGTGCCATGGTCGGATGTGAGAGCTGTAGGGTTAAAGCTGCAGCAACATTCTGTCAACTAAAAATCTGTGAATTACATTTCTGTTCTGCAAAAATTTAGATTTAGTCTTGTTGTTAGCTCAGGTCAGCTTAGCTCCAGTTCAAGACTTAAGACATGATTACACATACATGTATGTATTCAGGAAAAAATTAAATAACTGCATCAGTGATCTAGTCTAAACAGAGTTTTGATGAAGAAGTAAGTTAAAATCTATGCATACAAATAATGTAGCTATGTAATTACATCAAAACAATGTAACCGTAAGCCTTAAAATCAGAACTTCTGAAGTCTGTTTTTGAGAATTTTATTGGTTATTTTGGGGGGAGAGTAAATGTCAGCGTTATTATTGTTGAGAAAAACTAGAGATGATAAAACATTTTTTTTTTTTTTTTTTTTAAGTCTGTTTTTGAGAATTTTATTGGTTATTTTGGGGGGAGAGTAAATGTCAGCGTTATTATTGTTGAGAAAAACTAGAGATGATAAAACATTTTTTTTTTTTTTTTTTTTAGTTATTATTGTTGAGAAAAACTAGAGATGATAAAACATTTTTTTTTTTTTTTTTTTTAAGATTTATTTTTGGGCTTTTTATGCCTTTATTTGAGAGATAGGACAGTGGATAGAGTCAGAAATGGGGGAGAGAGAGAGAGACTGGGGAATGACGTGCAGAAAAGGAGCCACAGGTCGGATTTGAATCTGGGCCGTCCGCTTGGAAGACTACGCGCGCACTAACCACTGCGCCACCAGAGCCCCGATAAAACATAATATTATATGTAAGAAGATGATGTACGTCACTTTGGATAAAAGCGTCTGCTAAGTGAATTGTAACATCTTTTCCAGTGCATTTGAGGGATCAGCACAATAAATGTATATCTATAGCTACAGATCAATTATAGATCTAAGAAAGATATCGGCCTGTATATCCATATTGATTTTTTTTTCTCTCCAATATCGGTATCGTCCCAAAATATCTCCTATCAGTCGGGTTCTAATGAAAAACAAACATTACTTACACTAATTCGACCACTTTTTTCTTTCCTCCTCTAGGCCAGCTGAACTATCTGGGTGCCAGCCACCAGGTGTGGCACATTCTGGTGGTGTTGATGTTTTACTGGTGGCATCAGACAGCTGTACACATCATGCAGTTCAGGCACAGCCAGGCCTGTCCGGTCCAGACCGGCAGCAACTAAGTGAAAATGATCAAACAGAGTAATGGGAAGGCAATCATTTGGAGGCTAATACATGTAAGTGGACATCAATTAAATCACTATGTTAATATTTAAATACACTTTTTATCAGTTAGCTGCTGGGGAGAAGTGTCTACCTAATGGTTTTAAACCACTAACTGTGATGATGTAGATCAGTAGCTACTATCTTCAACCAGCTGACGGTTACCTCTTGGCTGCTTGACCAGCACTCACCCTGGCCAGCTGTTATAGGCCAGTATCTTTTCTAAGTCAGCTAAGAGTGGCTGAAAGCTTCTGTAAATCTCATATTCTCTAAACATAAGATTCAGGGGATAAAGATCTGCTAAATGAAAGCCCATGGTGTATCTAAAATCAACTGTGAAACTCTCAATATTGCACCATAACTTACTATTATGAACAATGCATGAAAAAGGAGTTGTTTGTATTAACCGACCAAGGTTTGTTGTTTTTAAATGGTGATTATGTTATCTCATCATGGTTTGTTTAGATTGTCATTTTATGTACACAAGTATTGAAAAAATTTTATGAATTATTTTGAATCCAACATAATAACCTGTGTGACCGATTACTTTTTCTTTGCGATTTTGTTTCCTCCCGAAGCTAACACAAGATTAGATTGTATACATGACGGTGGAAACCACAGAACAAAGACATTCAACCCTCAGACACTGTAAACTGTCCGTCTGAGGACACACAAAGTCTCAATGACTTCTTTAATTCAAACTACCGAACAAATAGTCAAAGATTTTTTAAATATATTTTACAGGGACAGTGCATATTATAATATACATTTCTGTAAATATGTCAGAGTTAGCCAAAAGGCTAATTTTCTTCCGTTGTCCCTGCCCAGGTTTTATAAAAAGATCAATCGGCGATCAATCTGCCTTAAATACTATAGTGTTTTAAATAAACGGGGGTCTCAGATTACGGCTCCAGTGCATAGTAGCTGTGCTGTGGGTGTCCTTTTGTGTCTTTGCCACAAATGAGTTGTCAGTGTGAAGAAAAAAAACAACAATCTTACAATGACAGATTCCAGTGGCCAAATCCATTATGTCTGGGTCAGCACCTTGGCTATAATTGTCATAATAAGCCTATTCATTTAGACTTAGTCAACAGAACTGAACACATCATGAGACAGGTGATTTAAAAAAAGGCTGACTCGTCCACTTTGGACTAATCTTATTGTTCTCTACTCCCCACACATCAGCCTCCTGACGTCATGGTACATGACTGTCGCTCTCACTTAGAGCAACACAATCTGAGTATTCTGCATTTCTCTGATGCAGCTTTCAGAAGAGAAGAAATGCAAACATTAATCTCTAGCAGAGGTTTATTATGATATAATACAATTCTGAAATAAGTTCTAAAGTACTAATTCCAATTTGCCTTTTAGAGAACCATCCCACAATGTTGTGTTTATAGTATTTATTTTTTAATCTAAAGGGGGAAAAAATGACCCTTACTGATCTGCACTTGACAGAGATGTATGTCACAACTTTGAAACTATGGTGATAAATGAATTTGGCTTTTTTGAGCTTAGAGAATTAAGAATGACATGATCTGCTTATTAGAAAGAGGGTGAACAAACCCTATCTTCATGGCTGGATATGCTTGGGTGGAAGGGAAAATGGAATTAGAATTGAGTTGGTTTTGGTAGGCGGTAGTATTTGGGTTTGGGGACAGTCGCATGCCATGTGAGCAATACGTTTTTCTTCAGTTATCTGCTGAACGGGTTTTAAAGTCTGCTGTAGTTGTACAGCTTTCTTTTTAGGCAATTCTGTTTATAATTTTACAATTTCTGTTTGCACTTGATTTGCCTTACATCTCAGAGTATTTTTGATGTTTACACACTTACTGTTACAATCAGTTTTTGGTCAGGATACAAACATACTCCATAAAAAAAAGATACATGATTGATATCATCTTTGCTCTTTTTTTCCACAAGGCCAGTATAGTATATTTGTAGCACATTTAATGTTTGAAAAAAAAAAAGAAAAAAGAATTTGAGTTGAGATGACTAACTGCGACATCCTGCAGAGCTGTGACAAGCTCTCATGAGGTGTGGAATGAGATGACTTAATTCTGCCTTTTTTTTTAAAAAGTGTTTTTGTCATTGAACAAAAAACTTGACCCTTTGAGTATCATGACCTGCTTGTTGTTTTTCTGGAATGATCTCTTGAATGTTTTATCCCGTGTATGTGTGTTTTTCTTGAATATCATTTATACCATGAAACACAGGCACTGACAAGATTTGAAATATTTATTTCAGTGCCTATGTGGAAATATATTTTTAAACCTTTTGAATGAATAAAGAATGCTGGAGAGTACGTTTTCCCGGAGGCTTTGTTTTTTGATAGCACAGAACTACACAAGATTTGTTTTAATACAAAATGATTATAGTGTTCAGAACACATTTAGTATAAAAATAGGAGAGAATGAACAAAATCATTTAGATTTGCTTTACCCAATCCATAATGATGTTATTTTCATTCCTGAAAAAGCATCATCTGCTGGTTTCTGATGTTTACGTTTAAAACAGTAGAGGGCAGCATTGATCCAGAAGTTGCACATTTACACAAAGTTTTATGTGTTGAATTCATAGAAAATGCAGATCAGCGTATTCTATATTTCATTTAAAAATGTCATGTTTATCTGTATAGGGACAAGTATGGAGTAAGTAAACTGTTGCCACACACCAGAGCATTTATAGCCTGAGCTAATTTGCATTGCCTGTCCCTAGATGGGCCTTTAAAATACATAAAACTCAACAATGGATGCACATAAAACAGAACCAAACAACAGACAGAACAGTGCAGGATACAAAATATCATACAATAAAATAAACAGGAGGAACAAGATCATACATGACCCAAAGACCGAGTCCTCTTTGGACATATCACACTGAACAAACTTTTGACTTCTCAAACAGGATCCATCTTTATGGACACATTTGACCTATTCATCCATCTATCCATCCATTAACCTCTATAGAGGTTAATGTTAAAAAGTATCTCACACTAGAGGGATTTCTGTTAACCCAGTGTCAAATGATTCACAATGTTTTAGTAAATTAACACTTAACATTGTTTGATAAAGGCTGTAGAATAAGTCAATGTTAGATTTGTTGTGTTATACAACACAAAAGGGCAAAAAAGTAGAGGAGAAAGTGGCCGTTTTCAGTATAGCTGTTTAGAACGATCTTTTTTTCAACATGGCGTCACATGGCGTAGCATGGGGGACTCGCGTTCTCTGACTCTGCTTTGATCCAGAGTGGTAGTGGGTGAGAGTGGGAGTTTCGGGTCGTGTTTTTGTGTTTCTTCCATTGTATCACATTTAATTTGACCAATCATTAAAATGGTTAAATATTGTTTAAATAATGTTTCCCTAATAGGAAGAAACATGGAGTTAGGCTTACGTGCCTGGATTCTCTTTGTGCAGTTGAAGAGACAGGACTTTATTTCTGCATCTGTGATCTGTCACAAAAAAACGCGGTCGTCGGTGGTGCTCATTTTCGGTAGAAAGATTATGTTCCTGGCGATATGATGGAGTTCAGGATGGGATACCGAAGCCGGGACCGGGTGAGACTGATGGCGGGTGCGGTCCCGTCAATACAGGCAACTGCAGGTTCACCGGCAGCAGCGGCAGCTAGCCTGGCTCCCGGTGGCAGAAGTAAACAAAGATCTGTCAGAGATTCAACCCGACGGAAACGTGAGCTGAGCACCACAAGTATTGGGTTTTGTTTTCTGACTCCAGATTAGTGGATAAACTGATTTCAATAGGTAGAATAACGTTTGTTTAATACATAATTATTAATAATATCATCGACGCCTTCAAGCTAGCGGTGACATAGCATCGGGGACACGGGAAGAAGCTAGCCTAGGGGTGCTAAGGGTGCTGCAGCACCCTCTGACATCAGGGACACATGATATCATCAGCTATAAGAACTTTAAACTACAGTTAATCCTGTTACATGTGACGTGTGGATGTAGTTTACATTACACCGGTATGTGTAATTATTGTTTTTGTCTGTAACTAAAACAGTCTGGACCTTGTTAATTATAGGCGAGAGAGAGAGCGAGCGAGCGCTATACGAGCTATACGTCACTGATTTAAAGTTACATGCCATCTGAACACGCGGGGACTTTTTTTACTCAACATGTCATGGGTCCAAAACCTGCTCACAATGTTTGTCTCAGAGGCCTGAAATATGGTTTGAATCTTCTGTCCGACTTTGTTATTCGGAGTTCCTCAAGTGTCTTCATCATTTTTACAAACAAGATGAAAGGTTTTTCTTTCCCTCAATCTGCCGTTGACCTCCTGTGTGAGAGAAATGCTGACATCCAGAGTAACTCAATATTATGTTGGAGAATGACACACCATCACTGAATGACCTCCTGCACTAATGAATGTTTGTGTAAAGGAGAAATGAGAAATGTGCTGATCTTACTGTTAGAAATGACTTTAATTTGACTCGGTTTAGAAGACACTTTAATCATGTTTTTGACTGAATAGCAGAATATTTGAGTGACGATCCTTTTGGCTACAAAAACAGGATTTAAGTATTTGACTCATCTGGAACCTTTCAGCACCTGTGCAAGATTTGAGATTACTAACATAAAGGAAATGTTAAAGCAATAGTTTGACATTTTGAGAAAAGAACTGAATCGCTTTCTCACCAAAGTTAGATGACAAGATCAACACCACATCTCAAGGGCAGCCATCGGCTTACTCAGCATAAACATGGAAACATAAGGGGAACAGCTAGCCTTGTTATGTCCAAAGGTAACACAATATGAAAACCAAATTATAATCATGTTTCGTCTGTAAGCATCACACCTGTCTTATATACAGTATAAACTAAAGCACAAACATTTATTAAATCCTTAAAGCAGATTAGGATTTCCTTAAGGATGCTTTCTTTTAACATTATTATAAATTGCAATCATAATTCTAACTAAATATTATAATTCAATTCATTTGATCCATTATAACAGTTATTTAAGAAACCCTTGTATTTATAAACTTGGTTTGTGACAAAAGGTTTTAGAAGTGATGCTTTAATGTGGGACAAAATGTGTCACCATAGTGATGATAACATATGCTGTGGTTTCTTCATAGATGTGTACACAGCAAAGGTATCCAAAGAAAAATGGAAATCCTCAAATAGATTCAAATGACTCGCTGTACTGTTGAGACATTCAATAAAGGACGGCTGTGGCTCAGTTGGTAGAGTTTGTTGGATCCCCAGCTCCTGCAGCTACGTGTCTGATGAGTCAAGACATTTGACCCTGATTTGCTCCCGCTGCTTCAACGGTGGCGTAGGAGTGTGTATGAATGGGATTAGTTACTTTTGATGGTCACTTTACATAACAGCCTCTACCATCAGTGTGTGGATGGGTAGGTGTGACATGCAGAGTAAAAACGCTTTGAGTAGTCTGAAGACTTGAAAAGTCCATTTATCATTTATCCTAAGACTTTTATCCTTTAAAGCTCTTACTAGTTGTTCCTGCTTTGACTTGTTTATATGCTAATGCTATTTAATAACGGCTTGCTCCTATTTGTTGTTTTAAATACTCATGTCATGTTTCTTAATGTTTGCTTTCCATTGCTTTTAATACTATATATAATATTTTCTTCATTTCAACCTTTCCTCGCTATTTTTTTTATTATATATACTTTATCCTGTATCACTTAAAGATTTGTTTCATATGAACAAATACATGTATTATTATTATTATTATTATTGTAGGAGTAGTATTATATATTTCTTCAGCTGGCAAACCAGTCAAATCTGGATATTCCCTTTAAATTCAAACCATGATAAAAAATAAAGTTACAGACACAATGATCAATAATTACAGTCTTCGTTAAAAACTTGACAGTTTAATTAAATCACTGAGGTTCAAGGCAGTGTTTTTATATGGTAGTTGAATGTCAACACGATGTCAAAATGAAGTTAAACAGACCTTTAGAAAACATATGATTCACATCCACAATCTGGGTTAAATTAAGACGAGTAAAAACATGTATGAAAATACAAAAAGATCATTTTGAAATGAATAAGATTGGTTACATCTTGTCTTTTGACACAACCATATAAAAAAAGACATAAAAAAAGCTAATTTTTAAGTACAACTTCTCTTTAAGTAAGACTACTAGTTATAAATGTTCATTATTTAAATTTTCTACCTGAAGCATAACAAAAAAAGACAAATACACTACAAAACCTTTGATTTATAAGAACCAAACCTGCTCTCAATATGCAAATAACATACAGTTTGAACAAAGAGTGGAAGTGAAGTGAGTGGATTATATATGTGGCATCACCTGCTGCCATCAGTTTACACAAAAAATACATTTCAGAGCACCATATGATGAGTTTGTCACATCCAGCACATGGACACCTTCAGAACACCGAGAGCTGCCCTTGTTAAGTCAACAGGGAACAGGACACGAGTAGGCCTACAGAACGTTAGGATAGACTGGAATCAAGACTGTCTCTGCGCATGAGTCTGAAAAAGGGCTCAGACCTTGATCATCATGAAAAGCTTCTTTTACCACCACAAGAGTTTGTCTTATCCAAGTTAGACAGAGTTCAACTTGCTTCTTAGAAATAATATTGTGGTACAAGTTAATAGGCGGCACCTCAGATTGTAGGCCTACCGCTGAGGGTGGCATTTCTTTTTGCTCCTAGAAAAGAGCCATTAAAGACTTTGGCCCTGCTTCAAGTGGTAAAGAAGTTAAAACAGCTTCCATCACAATAGACCTCACTTTAAATATCTTTAAACATGTTTTCTGAGGGCTACACTGTGCTGCACTGGTTACAAATTAGGAGGCAATACCAAAGACTTCAACGACCAAATGACACACACAGTTAGCAAAAAAAGGTGCATCAAATGTGGTCTTATGCATCCAGCTTTTGAATAATATTTGTTTAATGCGTTTTGATGTTTTAGCTCTTCTGTTCCACCTGTCAGCTAGAACACTCCATCAGTGTTTACCTTTTCATGAATGCCACAACTAGATAGCAACTCTGTAATTGATAGCTGTAGCATAGCCTCTTCTTTACAGCCTTTGGGGACGCTCACCAGAGTGAGCAACCTGTTGTATGGCTGATCAGGGAACAAATGAACACACCATTGCTAGCTTTAGCAACAAGCTAATCCATGTTGGAAACACTGACATGATTAAAAAGCTGTAGAAGCTAACAAAAAGCTGCCTAACCAGGAAGTTTGAACTGGTATGAAAACACAACTCTTGGGGGTGTTTTAGAGGCACTATGTTGTTGAAGGGCATTCTCTTGTCGAGCTATCAGATATCCAGCAAAATGTTTGCTTAGTTCTCCTAGTTGTCAATCATAAGGCACCAGTTTACAAATGTTTTATGTAAAAATAAAAACTGTAAATTTATGGAATACTATGGAATCATCAGAATGCTCGTTAGGCAGATAATGTGTGTCTGATCTATTTTGGGTACTTTATGATTCAAAGCATCATTATCATCATCATTATTTCTGCACATTTAGATTCACATGGGAAAGGTGATGGAGAAATGGAATACACCTCTATATTTTATCTGTTCCCTTTTATCGTCCAGGTCCTCTACACTACAGAATCGCCTGACCTGCTTTCTGCTGCTGCAAACGTTCTGTTTGCATGAAGGACTGCAGCGTGAACCGTATGAAATAGTAGGCTGCTCATATCTTCGTCATTGTTCCCGAAAAACTGTCCTTTCTGCAAGGTATCAATGACTGAAGTGTTACAGTTTGCCAGGATTACACTGACCCTGATCTCTTGATATTCCTTGACGAGCGTTTTAAAGGTAGCCATGCCTGAAGAGTCTATAAAGGGAATGGCAGAGCAGTCTAAAACTATTGTGTGGAAATCAAGCTCTCTTTCGACGAGTCCAATCATGACCTCCCCGTTGTTTTTTTCACCATTTGCTTTGGCCTGCTTCAAGGACATGTCTTTAGCCTTCTTCTCTGCCTTTTTCCTCTTAGTCATCTCCAAGAAAGGTTCAACCCCGACAGCTCTGTAGAGGGATTTGAGGAATGACTCCTTGTTGGCATAGTACAGTGGAGCCTGGAAGCGGAAGACTTGAACCCGAGGTGGGGGCAGGAGGTTCTTGTACTCTTCCATGTCCTCATAAAGATCAGTGTCATTGACCTGGCCGAGGAGAGAGACCTGATGCCAGACACCAGAAAAGAATGTATGTGAATACTTCAATTTTCAATACTTTTCACAGTCTGGAATTTTTCTCAAATGTATCAGCGTTCATATAACCTTAGGTCCATAACTCACCTCAGGATTCTGGGTCTTATAGATGACACAGATCATTGCAAAAACTACTCCAAATAGGAGACCCATCTCCACACTGATCAGAGCTGTGGTTGACATGGTAACCAGCCAAACAACGGCGTCGTTCCGGCTGGCCCGCCATTTAGATGGGACATCCCTAAACTTCCTCAGTGCCCCCCGGAGGCTGACAATTATAATACAGGCAAGAACACACTTCTGGAGAGAGTAGAAGAAAGGTGCAAAGAAGAGGAGGACAAGAAGGACGACCAGGGCGCTGATCAAACTGGATACCTGATGGAGGAGGTAAGAAATAGAGAGACAAAGAGGGGGACAGAACATATTAATGAACATATCCCACAAAGGTAAGATAAACATTGGGTTCTACACTTGCCTCAGGACACACTTCTAGAAACTACCTGCCTTTGCAAGTGCAATCCCAGGGATATCCATTTTTGTTGTCATTGTGCAAGTCACTATTTAATTCATCCTTATTAAGCAATTAAGGGAAATGTCTTTAGAACACTTTTTCCAGATCTTTCAAGTTTTGTACAGATTTGTGAACACATATTAACTTTATAATAAACCGGATTAACAAGATTAACAAAGTGAATTAACAAAAATGAATCTAAAAAAAAAGAAGTCTGCCTAAAAGGAAGAATACCAACTGTTTGAAATCTCAAAAAAAAAAATCTGACCAATGATCCAAAGATGTATTCGGGCGTTTTTAAAAGTATGATTTGTACCTGTGTCTGGCAGCCTGTTGAGTCCTTCACCATAGTTTTTGCCAGTGCTGCACTGGTGGTGAAACAATGGAAGAAGGAGGGGATGATGTTACAGAAGCCTATAGCCAGCATCTCCTGGTTGGGACGAACTGTGTAGCCATTTTTTTTGGCAAACATTTCAGACAGCGACACTGTGAAGGCGAAACTACAAAACAAAATGAAATAGGTTAACAAACAGAGGCTTTGAATACATTTGTAAATAGATTTCTACCCTTTAATCGCTTTGCATGATAGAATACTCAAACAAAAGTGTCAATAAAATGGCATTTTTGTTTCCAATGTGTTTGCTATTTGAGGAACAAGAATTATTTTCTATCGCTTAAGGTTTTAAAATTAAGACTCACTTGTTGTCTTTACTATCTTTCTAGACGGAAGTATATAAATGCTGCCTGAAGATTGGTTACATCATTCAAACAAGCCACTTTTATAGAGTAAAAATTATGAAGGGGAAATGTCAGTAGAAATCCCTGCTATATGGATATTCACCAAATAAATCAACAACCTAGATAAGAGACCAATGTTCTTGAAGAGCAAATGTTTTGTTGGAGTTGTTAGGCATTACCTGATGACAGCTAGAGGAATGGCATCCAGTGCCACTCGTGGCATCAAGCTAAAGCTGGGCACCTGGGGAGGACTGAACCCAGTTGGGATGTGACCAGAAACACTGGAGCTGTACCGACTGTTCAGCTCCCCAAAATGACTAGCCAGTGTAGCTCCTGCCACTACTACCAGCTCAGTTGGCAGGGGGATCTTTAGACGATTCTTGTAGCGCTCCTGGATTTCTTTAGCTGCCACTATGATATAAAACAAATCTTAGTGTTAATCTACATTAGACTATTAAGAATTGAATTCAGTATATTCTCAAAACCATCACAGAACAATTGAAATCACAGGAAAACCAGATTTTAGCAAAATTTCATAAAAAAATATCTTACATTTCAAGGAAATGTGTTCGATATAGCAGAAGCAGGTAAAGCAGTTTATAAGCAGTAATGGTTCAATGGATTAGGAATATGTAAAATAGAGATCTTTACCTAATATAGATATACAGATGGCACTAGTGATGAGGTCACACAGGTTGGTCTTATGAATGTTAGCAAAGATGTTGATCCAGGTGACAACAACTGTGCCGTATCCCTGGTGACGGGGAATCTTTAGACCCAACAGGTACTTAGCCTGCACAGTGAGGATGGTGAAGGAGGCCCCCGTTGCGAAACCATCGAGCATAGGAGCTGAAAGGTATACAGAAACGAAGCCTAGCCGAAATACAGCCATCATGACCTGGTGAAGAGAACAGGAGGGAATCAAATGAAGGTGGCGTTAGAAGACAGAGTAGAATGAGAAAGAGAGTAACTTATCAAATTAGATATTCCAACTCAATTTACCACATTGATGGCTCTCTGATAATTTACACAGTGAATTTGGCGATCCTCTGATCTTTTCCTATGTGCCAACATGAGGTTCCAGAATTTTGCTGAAATTTCTCAATAATTATTTGATGCAGTGCCATGGTTTTTGTAAAGACATATTCCCATAAGATAAATTGTATTTCTCATGTCTGTTGATGTTGTACCACCTTTAGCTTAAGACTTACTTTGTCCAATTCAGTTTTGCAACAATGTCCTGTGATTAATAATTACATGTCTACAACCTGTTGTTGCGCCTTGATCCGGATAAGGAGCATTGATAACAGTATTTTTTTGTTGTTGTTGAGGACTACAACTGGGAATTTATTTTGGATAGTTTGAAATCTTAAAACCAGTATAATTTTGGTTCTTTACAAACTTTCCGACTAGATGGTAATAAAAAAATAAAAGAGCCTATACTGAAAAAAGTAGCTCTTCTGTGGATAAACATTTGGTAAGTCTTTTGGACCTTTGGTCAGAACACAACTGTTCCTTTACCTGGTAAATGCCAGCCAGGAATGTAAGTGCAGCAGCGATGCTGATGGCATAACACTCCTTCCCACACTGCACACCAAACAGCTCCACACTGTGAAGATTACCGGCTGTAAGGTTAGTGCCAATTGTTGCATTATACATATCCAGACCAGACGCTTTGGAGTCTTCATTGAGATCAAAACCTGCCAGAACCAGCTCCTTATCCACCACCTGCAGGCAAGTAGAAATAGCAAAGATCACTTGAATAAAACCCAATACTTTAAGTATAACAGCTGTCAGGAATTAAATGGTCAATGAGCCTTATTTTTACAGTGATCATAAATGAAACGCTCAATCCATTGACTCATCAGACATGTAGCTGCTCAACCCATTTTTTATTTACATTCTAAAACAACAGAAGAAAAAGTATTTATGAGTAATTAAAGTCCAAAAGAAGACAAGTGTTTTGAGAAATTTCAGTGAGGAACTAAATTGTTTGATCATTGCTTGTCACTGGTCCATTACCTGTCCCACCATGAGGCTCATGAGGCTGAAGATCCCCACAGAGACATGTCTGGATGTGCCCATGAGGAAGTAGATGATGTTGGCATAAAAAGATGTGTACAATCCATAGATTGGCTCCACTCCTGCCAGCAAGCAATAGGCAATAGCCTGCGGTACCAAGATGATACCAACGATGAGCCCAGACATCGCATCGCCCCAGACATATTCCCTGAGCTTGTATTTAGGAAGCCAGCGCACCACAGGGAAGAACCCGGTCAGGGTGGATCTAACTCGGGGCACAGAGCAGGTTGCACTCTTCTTCAAATTGGATTTTAGGACTGCAACTGCAGGCTGTCGCTGGCGAACCTGGCGTTCCAGGAGAGGTTGTGGAGCCACTGATGTTTCTGCGCCCTTGGTGACCTCCTCCATGATCTTATGGAGGTAGGAGTGTTAGCAAGGTGAGAAGAGGTGGATAACGTGGTCAGCTGAGCTCCTGATAGATCATCATTGAGGAAATATGAGGCAGAAAGGAAAGTAAATGAATAAGAAAAAAGTTAAAAAAAAAAAAACAGGTCAGATGACTTCATTCAAAAGACATTAACACAATTTCTTTAGGTTGTATAAAAGCAAACACAGATTTTTACATTCTTGTTGGGATTCCATGCCAGACCTTTTGACTGTTGCTTGGTGTAAAGGTGCCCGGTTTCAATGATGACATATATTCCTCATATATATTTTCAATTAATTTTTTTTTTAAATTTGTTGAAATCTGTGTTATTTTTAAAGGTGAAATACTTTCGCTTTTCTACTCTCATGTCAGTTCTTGACTTCTAAATGGGCTCTTTAAAAATACATGTACAAATCAAGATTCAATCTACTGTAATGACCTCCATAATCAGCTTATTTCCTAGAGCACATGTTAGTACAGTGTATAACGAAGCAGCAGTGTAGGGGTTAACTATCTTCTCTGTACTAGTGTGGTCTGGTATGTGGATTGAGATTGAGCCAGTTAATGAATAGGCACTGAACCACAGAATGATTAACTGTATAACTTAGATAATCTATAACATTTGCTTAGCTATTTTTGCTTCAGCTAAACCTTCTTATCCGATGATGGTGTCTTCTGCTGAGAAAAAGCAAGATGGTGACAGTAAAATGGCAAACTTGAGGGTTATTAACTGCAGAAAACAAACTAATGGACCTGTGGCTGTGTCCATAGTCCATAAATTTCTATTAATATACTACCCAGACTGAAATGTGTCAGTTCCACTATTGGATGGATTGCATTGAAAACTGGTAAATTTATGTGACTTTTAGGGAATAAGAAGTTGTTTGCTAAACATTGCTGACATTCCCATGTGTAGTTTATTAGACAATGTTAGAATTCTAAAAAGCTCGATGGTTATAATGGGAAATTAGCTTTACACATCAACGTGATGAATGGATGATTGTCATTGTGTCAATGCTTCTTTTATTAGCATTCAGAGCTTTGATTAGCCTAGTCACAGCCTCACAGACACGCTACCATGGATGACATCTGAAAATGTGCTCTTTTTTCCCCATATTAGGGCTTTAACCACTTTTTATCTGTCCTTCAAGTGTGCTAGTTTTGAAACAACTATAACCACCTTTTTGTTCCAGTGTCAACTGACAAAACATAATACTAACCCGGACCCTTATTCTTTCTTACTCTGTTGTTAAAGTGACAATTTCTTAAACATTGCTTTATTATCTATCTTATATCAATGTCAGAATTGATTGACATTTCTGTGATTTATATAGAAAGGTAGTAATGTATCCTCATTTAAGCATCATGAATGTAGCTTGTGACCACCAGCTTACAGAGAGCCTTTCTCATAAGATGAGTTTTTTTTACGGTAGCAGATGTGTCTCAGCTGAGATAATCATGTCTCAAAAACCATAAAACTCTCTAAATGATGTTTTATCAGCCTCTGTCATCACAGCAACAGTGGCATGTGCTTTGATTTATACTTCCTGTGGCAGGGATGGCAACTCCCATGTTCTGATAGGAGGAGTGGATAAAGAAAAAAAGGAAACATGTCGACAATCACTCCCGTCAGGAATGTTTAAGTTGAGGTCATCAATTTACAATTTACTTTGCAGGACAGAATTTGGCAAACCAAAGCAGTGCCCATGCAGTCTGAGTCGTAGAATCAGAACCTGACTTAGTCACTCTTAAGGACACAGGAGAAACATGTGTTGCCTTGAGGTACAAAATCTAAAGTAAATGAAACTCTTTACAAAAAGTAAAAGATTTCCAGTACACTTTTGTTTAACAGTCCTCCCCAACAGAACAAAGCTGCCTGTAAACAGATTTTCTTTTAAGAACAGAAACTGAGACACCTGATTGACTGTCGAACATTACAGGAGTCACACTGAGGACCTTTTGCAACTGAAATGTTAAATCTACTTCCAAGTCAGTCTGAACAGCACTGAGAACAACCAAAGCCGTTCTGTAAAGCATTTCTAATCAATGTTCCACGCCCCTTAATCATGTGATATAAAAGCACCCCACCAGTGCTTAGAAATGCCCTGAAAGCTGTCTTTGAGGGGTATGCTAGCTTTTGTTTATTTTTACATGTAAAATATAGCTGTATACTAGTGACTCCACACTTAAAACAGATCGGCCTTTATTTGCACCAAACTGCAGTGTGACATTTCTCTTTTGTGGGTAGAAATGAGAGTGGATGACAGTATGACTGTGATTGCCAATGTTTTTCAAGATAAGTGATATCTATCTGTGAACTGAATGATATCACAATATTCCAAAACCTGAATTATTGTCTATTTTACATCTTTTATTGAGCAACCCAGACTAAATAAAAACTTCATGGTTTTGCTGAGCCAGAGCTACTTACCCTTGCAAACTTTCACTTGTAAAAAACAATAATAAAGATTACTAAGAAAGCTAGATGTTCTTCGTCTTGACCCAAGAAAAATCTATAAAATTTGCACACGAGTCAGCAAAACCCTTCCCAACTCTAAGTTTGCATCACGGTGGTTTGGAGAAAAACCTTTTTAAAGTACGGAGATGATTGTCTACACCTCTGTGTTTAGCTGAAATTGCAAAGTCAAAAGACATCTTCAAATTGATTTGACATTCAAGAAAAATAATAAGGGCCACATGCAGGACTTGAAACAGTTATTGCAAACATCACTCTTGTGCTATACCTGACTAAAGAATGGATGAGGTGACTCATGTTGAAATGAACTCGTGTAGAAATACAAAGCGTTCTCTTGCTTTTAAAAGGTCAATTGGGAAATGGCTCAGGCAGGTCAACTGCTTTTACAAATCACAAACGCTTTTCAAAAAGCAGCAAAGGCATGATGTCCTTATCACAAAACTCTTTTTAAGGATCTAATCAAACTGAAAGTTAACCTCCTGACTGGACTTTAACAGCAGAGCACAGTAAGTTAATGCAAAGTAGAAACAACGCGTGAGAGAAGGTAAATTAATCATTAAAGAAAAAGCCCATGAAAATTGGAATGGATTTTTTATTTAGATGCTTTCCAGGTTGATGGCAGCACATCTTAGAATTTATTGTACCTCTTAATGCCAATGAATAGAACACGCAGTGAGCCATGTGCAAAAACTCACCTGCAGAGTCACAGCCTCAGGAACCAACAAGACCACAAGTCTATGATGTTTCAGCTCTGTGGTGACTGTTCTAACCTCGTCTCATTCTCTGCAAATCTGCATCTTTCTCTCTCTCTCTATACACTGTCCGTCTTTCTCTCTCTCTGTCAGTTTCTGTTGTCATCCGAACAGTCACACAACAAATGTGATCGCTGCTGGATAGATATAAAGATAACAGCAGCCCTTTGCCCCCCTCAAGCTCTCGCCTATTGGCCTGTTAACTATTGGTTTGTTAACCCAGAGGGGGTGGGACCAGTCCTGTTTGTTTGTTAGTGTGTGTGCGCGTGTGTGTGTGTGTGTGTGTGTGTGCCCCTGTCTGAGCAGGAGGTATTCACAGTGTTTATCAAACCAGGACTTGGGATTGTGATTGCAATGTGAAAATGAGCACAGAGCAGACTTGTATGTCAGCATGTCACACTGTTTACTTTACACTAAATGAACCCTTTAGAAAGAGTGGATCACATCGCAAACATGAGATAAGCTGTACCTGAGGTGCAAGTAGCCATTGTTATCTGCACGACCTGTGTCAGAACCAAACTAAATTGGTTTTGAATACACAAATATCAGACATGAGAAAATAACCAAGTGGTTGAAAACAAAAACACACACACACACACACACACACACACACACACACACACACACACACGCACACACACACACACAGAAAATAATACATGGATGAAAGGTGTGGTAATGCTTTTGTTGATTTCAGTAATGTAGTAAACCCTATCCCTCATTGTATTTTAATTGTATAGGTTGCAAATTTGACCATGAAAGTTGAAATTAGGAGAAAAAAGTTGAAATGTCGAGAAAATTATGGAAACACAATTGTGAGAATAAGGTCCACATTTCAAGAAATTGTTTGTCAACTTCATTCTTGACAATTTGACATTTTTTTCCCTCAACATTCCAACTTTTTTCTGCACATTTCGACTCAATTCTCAAAATTGTATTCTCAGAATCAGAATCAGCTTTATTGGCCATGCATGCTTACATACATAAGGAATTTGTCTTGGGTGAACTGAGCTCTCAATGTGCAAAAATAAGTAAACATTAAATACAAACATAAAATAAGCAAACACTGATATATACAAGGTGATAAGACAATAGTGCAGTGGTGAGTAATGCTGAGCTGAACATGATAATAATTCTAACTTTATTCTCAACATTTCAACCTTTTTCTCTCGGTATTTAAACTTTTTTTCGACATTTTAAATAGTTTCATCGACATACCGACTTATTCTCAAAGTGTGTGATTAAAAAATATATTTCTCCTCAAATAATTTATTTGTCATGCCTCTCAGTAATCATCTTCGGTAGTTATTCATCTATCACTTTAGATCAATTTTAAATTAATGTTATGATATTTTCAAATCGTCACAAAAGTACTCCCAGGAGCCATGGCAGGTCTACGCCTTACATTTTGTCAGGTTTTCTTTTTCTTAAGTATGTATACCGTGTATATTGTCTGTCATCAACAAATTAATAGTCAACTTTATTTGTATAGCATGTTTAAAAACAACAACAACTAAAACTGCCTAATACTGGCAGTAAAAACTGTATTGTTAATAAAATTAGACTCTAGTCTAAGACTAGGTTTCTTATTTTTTATTAGATTCATTTCTTTGACAAAAGTGGGTCTGTGTGTGTGTGTGCTTGCATGTGTGTGGGTGTGTTAGGCTGTGTGCCTTACATACTATAATGAATGGCATCATTGTTAGTCTGACGACAGACATCTAACATCTAGTTCTTCTAATGAAGACAGTACATCTATGATAGGATTCATTTCAAAGCACAAATAAAACGTGAAAGAAGAGGGAGCTTTATTTGGGTCTTTGTGTTTTCACTTTTAATCCGATTCATCAGCAAGAAACTGTGAAAAGCTGGAAAAACCCAGCTGTAAACAGTTGTAAGATGTTCAGAGTGTCAGCCTCACATGTCATCTCTGTTCCTCCCTAACTGTAAAGCAAAAATCTACTTTTAACTCAGCAGGATTACTGCACTGCCCCTTTAAATCCACCGGCAGCATCCATCTGGCTGCATGTCTGCTCCCTTGCATCCTCATTTTTGGACACATTTTGTTTGTTTTCCTGAGAAGAGACAATAGAGTGAGGGCGACTCACCCACAGAGAAGCAGCAGCTCGACAGTAAACAGGAGGCAGCTTTGGCCATACCTCCCTGTGTGGTTCCTCTGTATACACCATCAGTCTGCTCTATACTCTACTGTCCACTCCACTGCTCACTGTCTGCTTCTGTCTTCTTCCGGCTTCCTCTTGCAAAGCATGATGGGAGCAGCACCCCCCGTGTTGTTCCTGAATGCGGATTGGAACTGTGCAGAGGGGGAAGGGAGTCCAGAGGAGACAGATGGAGGGAGGGACTGTCGGCAGTAGATGGTGGTTACCATGGTGACTAAACTACTGCTGATGTAGCCTATGTGTGTGCATGGATGGACATCCTCTGAAAAATTATTGATCTACTACTGTCCTAATTGAAAGTATTGTGGAATGGCAGAATGTTTCTTAATTCAAAGATGTTTACGAGGACAAAAAGTGACTTTGTTCCTGTTTAAAGCTTACTTTTAGTGAAATAAGGTGTTTTCAATTAAGAATCTAATTTTGCACAGAATTTGACGCATTTCAGACAGATGATTACTCTTTAATGCACATCTATGGTAATGTGGGATATTGTAAAAAAACAGGAAGCTGTGTATTTACCATATTTAGTTCCTTTCCTATTTAAATTCTACTAGTTAACTCGAAGATGCATGAACAAGTCTTTAAATAAATTGGAATTAACAATTTCTAATGCAAGTTTGAATGCATCAAACTAAGATCAAATACCAGTTGCACTTTTCTGACATTATGTAAAAAGGTGTTCGTAATATGTCTAGGGACATTCTTTATTACAGAGCCCTAAGTGGAAATGCATCCATACATTTTGTTTACTCTATCTAAAATAAATAATATACACAATGTTTGAATGCATGTTTGCCAAGGGCTTCGTTTGTTGCTCTAATTATCAACAAACCTCACAAAATCTCATTAAATCACATATTTTCTCGTTAAATGTCTTCATTTTTTTTCATGTGAATTCAAATTACTTTAAAATTAGATCTTTTGAAACACATATTGTTGGAGAAATTGAAGCTTTGGGTTGAGTTGAGATCATACAGATGACTTGAACATACATAATGACTTTGCCAACTTTCTGCTCACTCATGTATGTTTTTAGTTAATCTATAAACACAACAGAACTTGCCTGTTGGTTTATGTATTAACCTGTGTCTTTTGCTCATGTGACATCAAATACTGCAAAAGTACATAATGTGCCCTCCAAAGTATGGGAACAGTCTTTATGGGGTTTTCTTTTGATTTTGTTATACACTAAAGATATTTCTGTCTGAGATCACAACAGAAAAATTAGAAAAAGAGATCAAGATGTCCACTTTTGGTTTTACATGTGTATACGATATATGCTTGAGAACATAACACCTATTGTTTCCCCCATCACTGCTGTCAATGATCAAAATTATGGGAAAATATATTAAATAAAGAAAATGAAAGGAAATAGTAGCTGTGGTTGTATTTGATTCAGCAGACATCTGAATGAATTCTGTTAATGAATAACATAATCAATACAAATAAGATAGCCAGCTCAATAAAATAAAGAAGAAAATAAAGAATAAAAAACTTTTCAATAATAAAAAAAATTGTTTTTTAAATGTGTTCAACTTATATATACAATTATAACTAAATATATATTTATATAATTATTACAAAAAATTATAACAGACTAAAATTGAAATACAAAATCAAGGTAAATATTTTAAAATAATCTCAAATAATAACCTATAAAGATAGAAAGTCTGGATTATCAAACACTGATAAATATTTCAATCCAGTAAATGTTCCCATCTAACCTTCATTCATAACCTGTTTTCTAAGTGAGAGCTAATGTAGCTAGGAAGCTATGTTCATTTTTAAAGACACACATTTGCTCAGTAATTGTTGGTGTTTTTTAATTGTTGGCTTTTTCCATTAAATATTTATCTTTTGCACACACAAAATTACTTTTTTTTTGTCTGGATAAAATTCCAAAGAAGAAACAAGAAAACATGTTGTTTCCCGACATAAGGGGGCGTCCTTTTATATCCAACAGTTATGAACATGCATTTATGCTTGGAGATCAATGAGGTAAATTATAGAGGATAGAAATGTCTTTTTGGGGGTAAAATAAAAATGGGTTACCAGAGCTGGTAAGACAATAACTCAAACAATAACAAAATAAATCATTGTTCATTATGTTTCATTATGAATGCATCATTTTTAATCAACACATTTTCATAATGAAGTAGATACAGTTTATTTCACATATCAAGTAGGTTTATTGGTCTGATATAGCAGGGCCTGACCTATTTTGAAAAAAACATAAAACCAGTGATGGAGGAAACTTGGGTTGCATTTGTCAGACCTTTATCTGAACACATAGAACATTTGAGATCCAAACATGCATCCTGATAACCCCATGAAAAGCCTCCACTTAACCTTCCTTTCACCTTTAACATATCTCAAGGAGTTCAAGGATCCTTCTGCACAATAGTTAATGCATTTGACTTATTACCTCCTTGAGTTGATGATGTACAACTTGCTTGTCAGAAACATTAATGTTAATGCTAAAAGTTTGCATTAAAGTCCAAACAGCCCACTCATGTTCAAAGCTCCAGAAACATGCAGAGCAGCTCTTTCACAACATCCTTTTGGGGGTTAAAAATTCACCATCTGTTGAACAAACATGGGTTTACCTATTAACTTAATACACAATACATACAAAAAACTAAGACTGAAACCAATCAATTCAAAACAATCAGTGTAGGTGTTTTGCTAGAAAAATGTTGTCTTGTCAAAGTAGCAAAATCCCAGGTTGCTTTTAAAAAACATTTATGATGCCTCTGTTCTACTCAAGAGTCCCAATAAACCATGACAGTGTGACATCATGCATAGTCCTGGTACCCTGAAACTGAAGCAGCTGAATGGAATTCTGCCATTCTTTATTTGATTACTTACACCAGTGCTGTAGCTGGTTTGTAAAGTCAAACTGTGATCAGTCACAGAGACATATTACTGTTAAGTGTCTCTGGAACATGAGGTTATAGTCTGAACTCACCTCACAAGCCATTTCTTCTTTAGTGTTATGGCGACATCTAGTGTCAGTGGCACATTATGGGAATGATGTGCTGGTGGGTTGGTATATGAGAGCCTTTGTATGTGTTGTTGAATATGTCTGGTGTCACATGTTTTTGTATGATTTGTGTTGGACCCCCTCGAAAACAAGATGCAGAAGTTAATCTCAAGGGGCTCTCCGTCATACATTTACATAGATCAGCAGGCGGGGTGTGTAAGCTTCTTTCTTTCTGTGGTCGAAACACACTCTCACACCAAGTTTAGTATGTGCTAATCACATCATTGGCTTAGATTAACATTTAATTATACTTCAGGCTACTGACTGGCAGGATGGTAACACAATAATGGTTATACAATATGTGAAGGCAAGGTGTGGGTCTCAGTGTTAAATGGAGGCAACATATCTCCATGTACAGTGGGTACGGAAAGTATTCAGACCACTTTACATTTTTCACTCTTTTTCACGTTTCATTGCAGCCATTTGCTAAAATCAAAAAAGTTCATTTTATTTCTCATTAATGTGCACTCAGCACCCCATCTTGACAGAAAAAAAACAGAAATGTAGAAATTTTTGCAAATTTATTAAAAAAGAAAAACTGAAATATCACATGGTCATAAGTATTCAGACCCTTTGCTGTGACACTCATATTTAACTCACATGCTGTCCATTTCTTCTGATCCTCCTTGAGATGGTTCTGCTCCTTCATTGGAGTCCAGCTGTGTTTAATTAAACTGATGGGACTTGATTAGGAAAGGCACACACCTGTTTATATAAGACCTTACAGCTCACAGTGCATGTCAGAGCAAATGAGAATCATGAGGTTGAAGGAACTGCCCAAGGAGCTCAGAGACAGAATTGTGGCAAGGCACAGATTTGGCCAAGGTTACACAATAATAAGAGCAGAGTGGCCTCCATAATCCTTAAATGGAAGAAGTTTGGGACGACCAGAACTCTTCCTAGACCTGGCCGTCCAGCCAAACTGAGCAATCGTGGGAGAAGAGCCTTGGTGAGAGAGGTAAAGGAGAACCCAAAGATCACTGTGGCTGAGCTCCAGAGATGCAGTAGGGAGATGGGAGAAAGTTCCACAAAGTCAACTATCACTGCAGCCCTCCACCAGTCGGGGCTTTATGGCAGAGTGGCCCGACGGAAGCCTCTCCTCAGTGCAAGACATATGAAAGCCTGCATAGAGTTTGCCAAAAAACACCTGAAGGACTCCCAGACTATGAGAAAGAAGATTCTCTGGTCTGATGAGACCAAGATTGAACTTTTTGGCTTTAATTCTAAGCGGTATGTGTGGAGAAAACCAGGCACTGCTCATCACCTGCCCAATACAATCCCAACAGTGAAACATGGTGGTGGCAGCATCATGCTATGGGGGTGTTTTTCAGCTGCAGGGACAGGACGACTGGTTGCAATTGAAGGAAAGATGAATGCGGCCAAGTACAGAGATATCCTGGAAGAAAACCTCTTCCAGAGTGCTCAGGACCTCAGACTGGGCCGAAGGTTCACCTTCCAACAAGACAATGACTCTAAGCACACAGCTGAAATAACAAAGGAGTGGCTTCGGAACAACTCTGTGACCATTCTTGACTGGCCCAGCCAGAGCCCTGACCTAAACCCAATTGCGCATCTCTGGAGAGACCTGAAAATGGCTGTCCACCAACGTTCATCATCCAACCTGACAGAACTGGAGAGGATCTGCAAGGAAGAATGGCAGAGGATCCCCAAATCCAGGTGTGAAAAACTTGTTGCATCATTCCCAAGAAGACTCATGGCTGTACTAGCTCAAAAGGGTGCTTCTACTCAATACTGACTCAATGGACAGCATGAGTCACAGCAAAGGGTCTGAATACTTATGACCATGTGATATTTCAGTTTTTCTTTTTTAATAAATTTGCAAAAATTTTACATTTCTGTTTTTTTCTGTCAAGATGGGGTGCTGAGTGCACATTAATGAGAAATAAAATGAACTTTTTTGATTTTAGCAAATGGCTGCAATGAAACAAAGAGTGAAAAATGTAAAGGGGTCTGAATACTTTCCGTACCCACTGTATCTACAGGATTTATTGTTTTGGATCTTGTCAACATCTTGAAGTTATTTAAGCTTTTGTGAAGACAGTTAATCAGGTCACAAAAAAAACACTGGTTTCATATTCGTGAATGTTTTCACTTTGGGCAGCTGGCTGTCTCTTTTTTGGAGAATTATACGTAAGAAAAGCAGGTTTCAGGTATTCTTGTTTACTGTCTCATCCACTCTGTGGGGAAATCTGTTGAAGAAAACCTGAGGGGAGCTGTGTGCTAGTGTTCAGGGAAGGTGGCGCTCGAACTACATTATGAAAAAGAAGAAGCTTCACTAAAAAAACTTGGTTTGACCTGTGACACAAAGGTCAAATGTTTGCTATATCAGAGTTCATCTTTTTTTGGAGAAAAAACTAAAAATACATAACTTGTTTGATTTGGCAAATGTCCATCTGGTTGCTATCCAAAGCCCCTCTATTGGAACCATCTTGAGCTTGCTGGGTCTTAGGGTTAGTTCTTTGATGTTTAGAAGATCTCATGGAAGAAGATAAGTAATGCAAATCATTGATAACTTTATTGAAGGAAGCACTCTTTCAATCCTAGCTGCTAATTGTTTTTTTATTGGACACATCTGCTAGAAAGGCAGATTCAACTGGATTCACACAGGAACCAAAACTAACAAGGCTTATTTCCAGCAGCCCATAGAAGGATGAAATATTGGATCTGTGGGTCTCATTGAGATAAAAATAATTTTTTTCGTTCTGTTTTAACGTTTTAGTTCCAGCTCCGACCCTGCTGTGCCAAGACACAAAGCCTTGAGATCGCTCGTGCTGCAGACAGAAAATAAGCCAAGAGAGATTCTACTGGAGTCAGTGAGTTTTGAAAGGGCTCACAGAACAATGAATTCCTCCACTAGACTTCAATGGATTGGTTAAGGTCCAGTCCAGTTAATGTCAGCACCAATTAGCCTGCCCTATCAGCCCAACACATCTCTGACTGAGAGGGAATGATTTCATGATGGACACTTCACTTGTATCTATAAAATAGTGTTTTCTGAAGTTTGTAACTGCAGCCTGCTATGCCAACAGTTAAAAAAAAAAAAAGGCTTGGGGGCTCAGTCTATAGGGAACCAGAGGGTCCCCGATTCAAGTCCCGGTGCGTCTAGAAATTGGACTGGTATCTGAGGAGGTGCCAGTTCACTTCCTGAGCACTTCCGAGGTTCCCTTGGGCAAGGTATCGAACCCCCAACTGCTCTGTCGCTTCATAAATGCATGTCCTTAGGATCCTGTTTTTGTGTGTATTTCAGCCTATGTGTGTGTAGCTCAATAACAGAGTGTAAAAGTAATTTCCCCCTTGTGGGAATGAATAAAGGATATCTTCTAAAAATGTGTTTCAGGCCCACACTAAACACTATGAGTCAAAGCTTGATGCTTATGTTGTCTTACTATCGACAGGAGCCCATCACATACGTCAAAGGTAATTCAGCGACTAAAATAGCTTTTTAAATGTATGACCATATTGTATAGCTGACCAGTGATTCCTAGAAAAGAGATATGACAGTGCTGGATAACCATTGAATGAACGTTGAGGGGCATTACATTATAGAAAATAATAATTTTTTGTTTTTGTGAAGTGTGGGAATACAAAGTCATCTTAGTTTGTATTCTTAACAACCAAACCTGTGCAGTTAAATAGTTATATCAAGAGTTCAAATCAAATCTATCTCCTGTGGAAGAAAGACGCTGTGAACTAATTATTTCTCATAGTTTTACAAATGTCATTGTATCTGTAAAGATGCAGTTATTTTATAAATGATCAAAGTTTTCAAACTTTCCTGTGAAAACACCTCTTACCTGCTCAGCTCAGCAATTTGCATTAAACAAAGTTTTGTTTAATTACAATTTGTACTCTTCTGTCACTTTAATTATGTTTAAGCTATCTTCTTCTGATCGTGAAGATTTAGCAAAGTGGCTGAAACCCTGAACGGTAAGAAAAAGATCTGTATGATTATCTTTTGATCAATCCACTGCTTTCTCCTATTTTTTTCTTTTATACCAAATTGAATTATCCAAAATTAACTATGACTTAACTTTTCTTTTGTATTGGTGTGATCGGTCCTTTGGAATATATTGGTGTCTTTGTTTTGGTTTTCTGGCTCTTCTGGCACTAACTTATCTTTCTTGTCTCCTCTCAACACTCTATTCAGCTCTTTTTGTAGCAGGCATCTTTATTGAAACAGAATAAAGCTCACTATGCCCTTCCTGCCCAGCAGCAAAGGACAGCCAAAGTTAGAAACTGGCTAGCAAACATTATGAAGTGTAAAGACAATAAAGTGTTAATGGTATCCAACGTCTTGGGTCTCTATTTTCAAGATAGCACAGAAATGAATCAGTCTACACCAAACCTAGTCAAATTCACTGTTTATTTCTCATCTCCATCACAGAAAACAAAGACGAAGCACTAACAAATGGACTATAAAAAGTTGTCACACTGACAGAATGTCCATGTAGCTCTTTGAAGCCACATTTCAAAATTGTGCATTTCAAAACCAAAATGAAAGAGAATGAGATAACTGTGGTTCTCTGAGGCAGATACTAAGATCAAGAATGAACATAAAATGCAAATATCAGTGATGACAGAAAGGAGGCAGCTGAGTTGCTTTCACACCTCTGTGTATTTGACTCTTAAATGTGTTCTGATAGAAGGAGAGAATGTGCCAGAGGGAATGTAGATATGCAAACAAGCATCACACTTTTAAGGAGAGTTAAACCTGTATCATACAGACATTACTGATAGTTTGTATTGTGAGCGGGTGACAACAGCTGGCAAACCCACAGAGAAACACATCCTACTCTGTAGCTCTTTGCCCTTTGTAGCTGTTTTCGCTGCGTTTGCCCATTTTATCCTCACTGTGGTTTCAGGCCATATGTTCTTCAATTGAGGGATTTTTTCACCTTGCATTAATACAATGTTTCTCATAAAGTTCTGATGTCTCTTTTCAAAGTGGATTCATCAGCAAATACTACTTGTGCACATACACATTTCTTTGCTTTATTTTTATTGTATTTATGTTGCCCTTGTAAAAATTGGTTAATTGAACATGTCTCCGAAATAATGGTATGTGTTGTTAAATCGGAAAATATCAAATTTAGACCAAAGCCCCCAATAATGAAACAGTCATGCTGGACAATGTAGCTGGTGAAAAAATGAAGAACGTATAGGTTGAAGGGAAATAAATAGATCTTAAACAATAATATTAGAACTTGAGGACCAAACTTTAAATGACAATGTTTATACCAGATAATTTTGTCAGATGAACTTTAACCTTGTGAGGAGACATATGATACATGAGGTACATGATCAAGGAGGATAATGTATTTGTACTTTCAGTGCCTTGAAAGCCAACTCCACTATACATCACTGTAGCTTCTCGCAGGATGGCGGGGATGCCCATAAATGGCAAATATATTTTCCACCTTCTTGTAGAGATGCTGAGCTTTGTCCCTAGCTGTAACAGATGTGAAACTTTAAACCCAAAGAGGCATGTGCATTAAAGAATTTGCCGGGAAAGGTTTTAGAAAAGTGTTCATCCCAGTGATCAATGACAGAACAGTTTATACGCTGCTGCACTTCATCACAAACTGACTTCTAGTATCCCATCGTAAACCTTTGGTGCTGCATAACTGAAGCTGAATGGATACAAATTAAAAATGTCCACTTTTGATATTTCATCCAGCTATTTAAGAGTGCTATTGATGCTGATGAAGGCTAAAAAAACAAACTGATCCACAATAAACTGAACTCCTATCTAAGGATAACTGAATCAGCTGATTGTGCAGCTAGAAATGAGCTATGAAATATCTTGTTTATTCTTTAAATCATAGCGCTAAGAACGGCGTCTTGGTCTCTTGCTTCTTCCATCACTTTATCCAGAATTCGGCTTGCAGTCTTCTGAGATCTGTGGCGTAGGACCGCTGCCATGATGTGATCCAGATGTTCCACTGAGAACAGGTCTTTGTGTCTCAAAATGAGAAGAAATCTCAAAATATTGTCAGTGCTCTTCAGTCAATGGACACGAGTACTCCTCAACCAGTGGTTCTTGATCAATATGATTTATTTTGTCTGTTTTACAGCCAGCTAGTGTTTGATTAGACATTCTGTATGTGTCTGATGCCCAGCATCAACATATGTTTTAAAAATGTTAGTCACTGTTGATGCGGGATCATAGAGTGAATATCAAGGTTCTATATCCTCCTTTTATACAGTTCAACTTGGCTCACTGTAGACTGATCACACCAGAAGGTCTCTCATATCAGCTGATGACATCACAAATCTGTCCAGTCAGACTCATAGGGGTCCAAGAGAGTACTGGGACTCATGTTCATTGGCTAGCATGGTCCGTCCGTTGTCGCTGTAGCTGCGGTTAGGCAGGAAGGACAATCTGAAAAGAGAAAAATAAAATTGGTAGTAAATCAAACCTAAAACCTTGTAGGTGGCTGTCCAGAATTTGTTGACGGGGATGGCCCGTTTGGGACAGGGATTTATGCAGAGGTGGCAAAGAGTATCAAACAAGGTGTCACACAGAGTTGAGGTTCCTTTGTATAGGATTTTTAATTAAAAAAATTACAACACAACAGAGCAGCAACATAAATATTCAAAGCTAAATTCTCAAAAGGCGGAATATTCCCTAAGACACAGTTTAAAGTTCCAATAAAAGCAAATGTAACACATTGAAATGCTGTTGAAGCTACTAGCAGCCTCCTGCAACAGCATAGTATATAAAGTCTTTTTTATGTTTTTTTATTATTTCTGTAATTATTTATCCTAACCTGACCAGGAAAACAGCTAATCAGAGTTTAGGATGTTGGGCTGGCCTGCAACCCCCAAGTCCAACACGCCCTTGAAGCCCTTGTTTTACATCAAGATTTTTATTTTAGTAGAAGCATTTTTTTGGTTGTTGACATACACTTTTAATTTCAAGTACCTTAAGTTATATCAATTTTATTGTAAGTGGCAGTCTGCCTTTCCAGGTTTAGAATCAAATGATTCCCCTCGACACAAGCCATATGAAATGAAAAAGTATCACTAAGTTTGTACTTTATCTCAGTAATAACAGCCTTACATATCAGTCTCGTATAGTACAGCTGTGTCAGACCAGTACAAATCAAAACCTTTAACTATCCTGAAATGAAAAGAAGTTCATTAGTCATCTCTCCTTCTGTGTGGAGTCTGCATGCTTTTATTAACAAGAGACTGCACACACAATGGGAAACATGCAACTGAACAGGAGCTGTCTGAAAGTCCCAGTTATTAGTTAGTATTGACCACAATGACAACACACACACACACTCACACAAACACACAGACACACAATACACAGTGGAGGAATGTCTGGGGTCAGGAGGCGAAGGGTAAATATAAGCCTAAATAAAAATGTTCTCCAACTCCTTCATTCGTGTATTTTTTTTTATAGCTAGACTATTTACTGTCTAAACACAACACTGCCTATCAGTTTGTGTGTCTCTCTCTCTTTGTCTGTGTCACAGGCTGAGAATGATATTCCAAATAGACATGAGGGAAAGGGAGGGATCAGGACTAGACAGTACCACCCTGAAATTCAGAGGAGGAAATGTAGGTATAACAGGATTAGAAAAACTTGGAATGGGAGTCTGAGGTCAAAAACCTTGACATAAAAAATGTAACTCAATTTGCTACAAATAAGATTTGCACACAAAGAATTTACATTTGCAAATGTGTTGTGGAGGGAATGACATGGCTTGTTTACACCTCAAGTGCACTGGTTCATACTAAACACTCTCACACACTCTTTAATTTAAGTAATTAAGTAGTCCTGAAAAGGAAGACCCAGGTCAGTAAGTGACCTCTGCCAGAAGCTGTTCCTACTGCCTCAAGGAGGTTTAGAAGTTTATTGAATTTATCTTAATTGATCCATCATGGAGAATCCTAAAATAGACCCTAATGCAAATCTCTGTTTTTCGTCCGTGGCTTTTTTTAAAAGCAAAAAACTATCCCTGCTCTTCCAAGAGATCTGGACGCTGACTGGATTTATATAAACTGTTCATAAAATGTCTTAGGAATCAAACCCACATTCAGTCAATTCTAAACACATCCATACTTAAACACTGAGCATCAGTTAACTTCCATAACATCTGGGGACATTTTTAGCTTCAAACTGCTGCTTAAAACAGAAAACTAAGACATACAAATGACCAAAATATCTCCATACCGCTGATAGAGTTAAGATGTTGTTTATACTTCTTATCACCACAAATGAATTCATGTTGGGTTGAGACGCGGGTCACGTTGTTGCACCTACATATATGGTTCTGTTCAGAAGCAAAACATGAACATGTTATCTTTAAATCTTATCCATAAGGCCGACGCAGATGTTTAGATTGTACATATTAGATGATACATGACACTTAAACACATACACATTAAATATCTCAGTCCAATTCTCACACGGCACAACTCTTCCCTTTAGTCTTTCAGTGTGGCAGCTTTAAACCACGAGCAGCATGGCTTTCATTTGGCCAGTTTCATCAGAAGAAAGAAAACAAAATCAGCCTTTCAGCCTCATAGCAGGACATTCTTAGATTTTAAAAAGAGAGGATAGGGGGGGGTTGAAACGTTCCCACAAGTTATATCAAATCTTTTGACATTAGTTTGATGATGAAACCGCTGGACTAACACTTAAATAGTTTTGTGGTTTAACTCCCACCAGAGCTTTCCCTTCAATGTCTCCTCTAATCTGTCTCGCTCTCTACTTCTACAATGTCGAACTGAAAAAAAAAAGGAAAAAACGAATGGGTGTGGGATTTCTCTGACATTACATGTGCATTTTGTTTAGTCTGAGGGTATGGAAAGGTTTTCTGAGGTGATGTCAGTCGGGTAGGGAACAGCAAAGCGATCAGAAAGACAGAAAGAAGAAACGACTTGTTGTATTTTACTAATTACTCTCACGGGGATCCTCACATTTGTTTCTTTTTCTGTTATAAATCTAAAGTGAACTGAAGGGATGTAGAAAGCAAAGGGGGCCAATCGCTGAAATCGTAAATGTTTTTGTACGATTTTGACGAGATTTCATTTGGATGTTGGCCCATTTTATGTGCTAGTATATATAGTAGTTTTCATTTTGGCTGAAAGGTCAACTTTTCTTGGCTGGATTCAAAGTGTCTTCCCTCTTATGTGGGATTTACAATAAATGATTCAGCATGTAATCCATGTCTTTTCTTATTGAGATCAGTGCCATTACGTATTCTTCACGCACCCAAAGAAGTGCCAGAGCACAATGATATTTAACTGTGACCAATCATTAAAACTAGACAAGACATGCCAACTTTCCTTATTTGATACCTTCATCTAACCAGCTCCTTAGCCATGTACACTATGAAATCAGATCTTTGGTTATTATTATTGAATTACTTATTTTATTAAATGGTTGGCTCAACATCTCATATTAACAGATAACATATTGTTTCCTAAATCCAGAAACTCTTGCAGTGGAAGCTTCTGAGAAGCAGGTCCAAGGAAAAAAAGACCGTTCAAAATGAGCTCAGTACAGTTCATGTATTCATCTAACTGTTCATGAATACATATAGAAACAATAGATCAAAGACACGCATCAAAAATCTGCAGGTTTAGGGATAGATTGTGATAACTGATAAAAGTTGAACTCCTTAATATGACAGCTTTTTGATAAAAATGGTGTTTTAACTTACAGCAGGCATTTTGTAATTTTTTTCAACAGGGTACCTGTGCACAGCCAACCTTCATTCTCAGGTGCGGCTCGGTTGCAGGAACATACAATAAAAAAATAAATCAATAATCCGTGGCACACTGAAAATTACTTGACTGTAACTTTATTGTGAGTGGACATAGCGTTTCGCTGAGGAACGCATTGAACAGTCACAATAAAGTTACAGTAAAGTAATTTTCAGTGTGCCACGGATTATTGATTTACTTTTCATTATTCATTCAAAGTTTTATTGTTTGTTTGTGTTGGCAGTTTCCTGTTCTCTGGGCTGCGCTGTGTCAACAGTGTACAGCTTCAGGCCGTTTATTGTCTTTGATAGGAAACTGCCTCCTTTACTTCTCTTGCAAAAAGATAAAGAAAGATCAAGAAATACATGCACAGAAACAAATGAAAAACATAGTAGTGTCGATCTGTCGAGTGTTGTGTGGTGACTTATGTTGAGATGTGGCATGTACGAGGCGACGCCTGCGAGCAAGTTTAGGAAGTCGATTTGAGCTGCACTGATTTCGCACTTGACATACGTCATTATCCACAATCACCTGACAGCACATCCTTCCTATGGGCAGTCTATCCAAGCAGCAAGATTTCAGGTCTCTCCCTCTGCTCTTTTAATTATGCAGCTCTAACTTGCACTAACCATGCACTTTAGATCAGCCCACCCTCCACCCCAGAATCCACCTGCAGGATCCGACTGGGGTTGTTTTACGATGTCGCTCCTCAAATTTCTGCATGTAGAATAAAACTGCGAGGAGTGATGAGGTCGGAGTCTAGACGGCAAACACAAACTGTGTTCTGCTGCAGTATTTCAAACACGTGCAAAAATGAGTTGTCTGTGTGAAATAAGTAAGACAATTGATTAACTGGCTTTCTATTACTATAATGAGTATGATCCTGCTTTCATCACTGAGCTATATTGGAATTTTGTTTGCTGTTATAGCTGCAAGGTGGTGCAGTGGTAAGTCCTGTAGCCCTTACAGAAGGGTCCCTTCCCCTCTGCCTCTCTCTTAGAGACTGTATGGACCCCCATGTCCCTGAATGGGGAAAAGGGTGTGGATAATGGATGGATGGATGTTTGTGTACCAAAGAGAGATCCAGCTATTGTCCTTGTTACGGCTTAACACAGGGTTCAAGTAAATACAGAGGTTGAAAAGAACATTCCAATCAATAATACACTTCAGATATATTTTTTTACAAAGGTGCTTGCATGTCTTCTGTGTGGTAAAGAATATCTTGTTGTTGCTGCCAAAACACACTCCAATTCACCATCCACACACACACACACACACACACACACACACACACACACACACACACACACACACACACACACACACTGTCTACACTTTGTGCACCACTCTCACAGCAGAGTTCTTGTCTCGCTCTGAGTCACAAAACATTACTGCTGTCCTGTACTACAGAGATCCAGTCACTTGTGTGGAAATACATTTGATCTGTAATGTGACCTTCAGCGAGATCGAGTGGAGATAGAGGAGCGGTTTGTGTTCCTTTAATTTCGTGCTAATATCTTTCGGGGACATTAAATAATCAAATTTCACTCTTGTCTCCTCGCTTTGAGGCCTGACGTGAGAGGGGAGCACTGATCAGGGTCGCAGATATGGCAGGTTTTTCCCACAGGAAAACTAAGGAGCAGGGATGGTTAGCAT